GGTTAAACCGGTGTTTTGAACGGTTAAACCAGTTAAACCGGTCAAATCGCAAACCAAAGATCAAAACGGTTTGACCTCTGGCTCGGTTTTCAAAACATTGTGTCAAAACGGGTTTATCGAGGTGGATAGGTCAAGTAGTTTTCTCGGGTTTCGACGGTTGGATCATCAAAATGGGTTTGGGTGTTCACCCAACTCATTTTAACAATCAAGTGACGGTCAAACCGGTTAGACTAATTGATCCGGTCTTATTTTAAAAGCACTACTAGAGAGCACTAATGAAGAATGCAAGTAAAACTGAAGTTCGGGCATTGTTATATTCCATCAAGAGAAAGGAGGCGAGTATGCATTATCTTCTAAATATAATATATAAATTTTATTCAATAAAAATAATCACTAGAGATATCTATGGTGACGATCGCCTAGTGGTAGAGTGCGTTATCGGGTGTAGATGGAGGATGTTTCGAATCTTGTTATGCGCATGTTATTTGGAATTTGGTTTTCCTTCTTACTCCAAATCCAGTCCAACATATTTTATTTTATTCAAATTTGTAGATTCATCGCCTCTTCTTTTGATAAGTGCAATTTAATCCTAATCTTTCTGCATTTCTCCAATTTTCAAACTCAATTTCGTCCTTGATCTTTTCCTTTTTGTCAATGGGCCCTTGCAACAAGGAAAATACACAAATTAAAATAACTTTTATTGAAAGGAGATATATATTGAGTAAGTATCTATTTTATATACAAATATTACATATTATATTAATACAAAATTTCAATTATTTATTTTTTCACTTTAAATGGATAAAATTTATTTACATTTATTAAAAATAATTATTTTTTTATAAATTTTTTTTATAAATCTCAACTAATAAAATTTGAAAAATAAAATAATTAAAATTTTTTTATAAGTATAGTATATAAGACTTGTTGTAAATGAATCTCTACTTATATATATATATATAAACACATATGAGTAGAGATTCACTTATACGTAAGTTTTACATAAAATCTCAATAATTCATTTCTCGACTTTTAATAATTCATTTCTCAACTTTCAATAATTGAGATTTATTTATATTTTTTAAAAATAATTATCTTTTTCACCTAAAAAGTTGTGACAAATCTCAATTATTGAAAGTAAGAAGATGAATGAGTAAAATTTTATGTAAATGTAATGTATAAAACTTATATGTGAATAGATCCTTCCTCTATACATATAAAACTAATATATAAAACTTTTGAATAGATAGGTTACAACTCTATAAATATAGTGTTATATTCATTATATTTATAATAAAATATTTTTTTTTTACCAAAATTTGAGTTAAAAAGGCACGACATTCCCACAAAACAATTTCCCTACGAGCATCCTGTTACGACTGCTTCTTGACTTGAGTGATTAATTTTTTATTTTATTTTTAATGGAAGAACATTTTATTATTTATTTGATTATAAAAACAACATTTTTTTTTATTTTCCAACATTAAAAAAAAATTGTTATTTGCTACCAATTGGCACCTATTAGGCAGTCTACTTGACACCACATAGTGGGGTTTGTATGGTTCGATTTCAGTTCAATTAAAACTGAATTATTGATTAATTAAAATTTTAGATTTTAAATTTTAGTAACTATTAACCAAACCAAAAATGACAGATTTTATCGATTTCAGTTGTATTTTTAAGAGTAATCATTTGGATCAATTTTGATTTTAACCAAAAAATTATTTTATATTTTATATTTTTTTTGAATTTCTTAATTATTATTTATTAATTTCTATCATAAAAAACTAAGAATTACCAAAATAAATAAATAATTTGGTGAAAAGTAGCTAAAAAAATTAAAAAATTCTAAAAACCATTAAAAAATTTATATAAAGGGTTTTTAGGTAAGATTTTTTTGTTATACCCATCCTAATTATCAGTTTGTCAATTTTTAAAAAATGTAAACCATTTTAAATTAGTTTAGTGTAATTTTTAATCAAACAAACTCAAAATCTAATTAAACGTTACCCATCAGTTACAGTTTTGTTGGTTTTTGAGTTTTTTTCAATTGTGGATTTTTTTGGCTCACGTTGCGCCTACCTGGAAATCTGTTAACAAAGTTAATGGAAAGAAAAACAAATTGACTAGTTGGTAGAAAAAAGAGTTTATAGACAGAATTGGCATAAACTTCATAATTTGTAGACTATTTATTAAATTTAGCCCAAACATCCACCATACTCAAAGCCTTTCCTTTAATTCTTACTGCTCTCTTTTTAAATGATAAAAAACCAGCAAGACCCACTTGGAAACCCAACTTATTCCTGATTCAAGTTCTTTTAATTTTGACTGGTCTATATTTTCATCATCTCCCTCATGTGCTGTCGTGCTCTTTGTGGGTACGTAGAAATCTATACTTCAAATCTGGTGAAGGAAAAGGGCCTTTCTCTTGTTTTAACCATGCACGGGGAGTAAGTAAGTATTTTAAGTATAACAAAAGCAAATCCCTACCTAGGATTCAATGAAGTTGTCCTGTTAGAAACAAGATTTATAAAATAAATAAATAAATCCAGGAAAGAGAAGGACAATCAGTTAAATATATATAAAATGGTTTCTTCTCGAGTCAGTGCCATCTCCATGCCAGTTTGGAATCAATCTTTTTAATATTTATGAATACTGCCAGGACCACCTCTGGCAGCTTCTGTATGAGCTCATACAGCTAGCCGGGACTAAGATCTCATCTTCTCCATATGTTATTCCTGTTTTCCCCAACTCATTCATCTTCTTCTTTTCCTTTTGCTTTTTGCCAGGAAACCGTGTTTTTAATTCATTGAGATCGGCAGATTTGGAAGAACAATGCAAGATCCTATTGGGATTCCGGAGTGTTTTTCATCAGGGGAGAAGCCGGCTGATGATTCAGCTGCAGTAACCAGGTCAGGGCAGAGTGTTTTCATGTCTATGTACCGTACAAAGGTGGCTGATCAGTGCCGTTTGATCACCATCACATGGTACAAGAATCTGTTAGTCCATGGTCTTTCTGTGTCAGTAGAAGGACCGGAGGGTGAGAGTCAGTACACTTGCAAAGTGGAGCTGAAGCCATGGTATTTCTGGAGGAAACAGGGTTCCAAGCGCTTTGTAGTTGAAGATAAAGCCGTTGATGTTTTCTGGGACCTCAAGGCTGCTAAATTCAATGGGGAAACAGAGCCCAGCTCTGAGTACTATGTCGCCGTTGTCTGTGATGAAGAGGTTGTTTTACTTCTTGGGGATCTAAAGAAAGATGCATACAGGAAAACAGGATGCAGACCTACACTTATTGATCCAATATTGGTTTCAAGGAAGGAGCACGTGTTTGGGAAAAAGAAATTTTCCACAAGAGTAAAGTTTCATGAGAAAGGTCGGTTTCATGAGATCACAATCGAGTGCAAGAACAGGACTACAACAGTTAGGAATCCTTTAGGAGGAGTTGAGCCTGAAATGGAGATGAGGATTGATGGGCATATGGTGCTTCATGTCAAGCATCTTCAATGGAAATTCAGAGGTAACGAATCCATTCATATGAATAAAGTAAGAGTAGAAGTTTATTGGGATGTCCATGATTGGCTCTTTAGTCCTGGTTTAAGGCATGCTTTGTTTATATTTAAGCCAACTATTCTTTCATCTCCATCAAAATCTTCCTCCCCACTATTCTCATCATCTTCAACACCGAAAACGCTTTTGTCATCCCAGACACAGAGCTATAGCTCATTGGAAGGCCTGAATGCTGGAAGTGGATCATCTGAGTTTTCCTTGTTTCTCTATGCTTGGAAGGTAGAATGAAAATAATAAACCTAAAATGGTTCTTCCCGTCGTTACATGTTATGGGACGGTATATGGTGAGATATCGGATTGAGAGTGAGACAGTTGATTGGGGTTGAGAAGAGTGTGGGGTCAAAGAGAAGGGGTATGGAGCCAGCTACAGCTGGGCTTACACAAGTGACCATAATTGGCTAAGACAAATTGTATCACATACATTTCAATTATTCCACATCGTTCTTGAGGCATCTTTCTATCTGTTTTTTAAGGAAATTCTTTTTCTTTTCTCTTGATCTGGTTTTTCTATTCTCTTGATCTGGTCTAGTTAACTGAGCAAATTCCTTTCAAAATATAAATATGTGTGTATGGTTTCTGAATTTTTATATACAAGGGGAAGTAACAGTTAGTATTTTCCTGCTTTTGCTGTATGTCTGTTTCTAGCATTAACATGTTGATGTCTAGGAAGGCCTGCTCTATTCAGTTAACTTTCTTTCATTGCCCTTTTCATTACCTGAAAGTTCAAAACTTTTCTCTAGTATCAATGACTCAACTTCAGTGCAATGCTTTCCTCAAGATCTCTGGAATTGTGAAAAGCCATTCTGATTTCAGCAATTTTTCAAAAAAAAAAAAAAATGATGTATAATAGAATGTCTTGAAGACTTATTCAATCAACAGAAAGTGTCATTCAATTTGAAAATGAATTGTGTTTTCTATTCAAATAAAATATCCAGAGCAAACATTACAAGATATTATTCATTTCCCCCTAAAGTATGTTGTGGGTGAAAGGTAGTTAGCTGTCCTAGAGGCAAAAGGCTTTTATAAAAATGAATGACACAATTAGAAAAAGAATATGATTAAATACAAAAGATTCCATTTTTGATAGAAAAAGTGATTGGAAGATTAGCTGTCAAAGAAACATTGACGTTAAAATTATTACCAAACTGAGGTGGTTGCAAAATGTTAATAATGAGGAAGATATAGCTGACACTTCCTCCAATCCTTAAACAATGCCCTGTTTTGTATATGATCAATAAATAATGGAAACCCCATAAAACAAAAATAGATGTTTTTGGTTTGTTAGTGGTGTGTTTTATAATGCTATAATAGTAGTTATTAATTTTTGTGTCTTTTAGTTATGCAAAAAATATATAAAATATTAATTAAAATTAGTAAAATATAAACATAATAAATTGTTAAAATTAATTACTTAAAATTAAGTATTTATATTTTTAGATAAGATATTATATGAAAAAATTTTGTAAAAAGAATTGTCAAATGAAGTTAAAGTATTAAAAATTATATGATATGATTATTGGATAATCTTAAAGCTTGATTTAGGTTTAAATTATAGATAAGAAACTCTTCTTTTTGATGTGGAGGCTAAGTGAAAGGCAATTGTTCAATAAAAGGGCTGGAGAAAACTAGTCTTGGTAATTGTTCTCTGGTCAATGAGATCAAGATCGTTGACATCAACAAGAAAAGCTATGTTAAATACACAATGGAATCAAAAGATGTTAGCAATAGGAATCGATAGAAGCATGCACAGTTTTTATTGTCTGATACAAATATATCATATGTTATTATTTCATCGATCCTTCAAAATATGGAGGAACCAAAGAATACCTAGGAACAAGAACATGTTCAAAATTTTTTCTAATCTGCTGGCCTTCTGCTTTTAACAATAGATCATTGAAATTTATTTATGCAATAACAAATATAAAGAAGGAAAAAAGATGATCTTATCTTCTTTTGGTTTTCATTTTCCAAAACCAAACCACTGTGCCAGGAAAAACTTATTTTTTCCACGAGAGTTATCTGGTGTTGATGTTGGAGCTTGCGTCGGTAACGTATGTATCAGGTTTCCCTGCAATGTTTTGAAAAGGAGCGTAAAATTGGCTATAGTTTTTGAGGGATGAATTGGGATAAAAATGTCTTACAGAATTATAAATGAATTAGATTAGTCAAACTCAGTATTATAACATGCCGGCTTGGAGTTTACCGCTAAACCTTTTATATATATATATATGGAAGTATGCAACCGCACGTATATGTTAAAAGTATTAACCTGATTTTGGTGAAGCCATGTTGGCTTTTGCATTCTTCATATTATTGGAATTCTTATCTGCTCATTCATGATGAGGAACGAAAATTGATTTCAATTCTATTTGGCGTCTTGCGTTCCATCACTTCTCCAGTATCATAATAACCTTCTAAAATCACCAGGATAATTAATCATATTATGATGATTTCAATGAGAAAAAAAAAAAAGTAATTCATATTTCCATAAGCAAAATTAAATAAATTAATAGGGGAATAATACAATTTGACTCAATTTACTCAAATCAAACAAACGAAAGAAAATCTGGAAAAAAAAAAAAACGCAAGATGAAAAACATTTCAAATAATAAAGCTTGGGAATATTTAGTGCGTGTTTGGTGCATATTTTTTGGATTAAAAATTTTAGGAAAATATTGTCTCGTAATTTGTGTGAATGTGTGTGAGATTGTAAGAGTCTGGGACCAAAACACGTAAGTGTTTACATTGCAATATTAATGGCTTATATATATAGCTCAGATTCTTTTTCTTACAAAAAAAAAATGTAATAAACTTTCTAGGATCCATAATCAATTACATTGGTATGTTTAATTGGTTATATTTTAATATAATTACTTTTGAAATAAAATATAAGTGATTACTTTTTTTCTTTTGATTTGTGTGCCAGGTTTTTAACTTTCCTTGGCCAAGCCATAGAGAAGAGAAAGAAATCCTTCTCCTTTTTTCTTTTATTTATTTACTTATATAAATAAAAAGAGGGAAGAAAATGGAAGTATATAACAAATATCAACATCCTCTCATTTTTCCCCCTATTCCTTTCCCTCCTCTTCATTCCCCTCAACCCAACATTCTGTTAGATTTTGACATATTCCGGGATTAAAACCTTGAGCCACAGACTTCACGAAATGATTTAACGGTAGATGTCTATAGCATGGGGCACTTCTAAGAAAGTAACCTGCCTTACTGCAATCATAACATTAAGAGTAATTGTCAAACAGCCGAAAATGAAATTCTATATTGGAATATGTAACTTACTCTCATTAGGGTGCTTCCCATAATTATGCAGCAATACTTCATAAAAGGATTCGTCTCTTTCATCTTGCATCACTAATAAAGAGTAGAAAAATTGATCCAACAATTTATTGGTCTGAGTAGAAAAAACTTAATTTTTTTAAGTAAAGTCTCGAGTTTGAGTCTTGTGAATAGAAAAATAAGTGCTTGAAAATCTTTTCTTCTCATAAGATTTAACACGACTTAATTCTAAACTAGTTGAAATTCAATATGATTGCTGGATACCTAAAGGTTAGTATCAAAAAAAATAATAATAAAAAAAAAATTGGACAATTAGTCTAAATGTCTAATGATCAATGAATAAACTTAAACCCTTTTAGACATTTTACTATGTAATAGAGATGTGAAGATTCATACATTGGTCGAAAAGAGCATGTCTGTAATTCGAGGCTGAGCCAACCAATAGAAGTTGGATTGCCACTGCACCTCTGGCCATAGACAGTTTAGCAGACGCATTAAGATTCTGTGTGTCTAATAGAATGCCCGCAAGTTGTAATACAGGAAGCCAAACCCTTGAAATTTTTCTTTATCAATAAACCGTGGAGGTTACCGAAAATGACTTCTTTGAAATTTTAAGTAACATGACTGATGAAATATATATACATTTTTTTCAGTCAAAGAAAAATGAAAGGGAAGAATTCGGAAAACAACTTCCCCTTTCCAATGATGGAAATTGTTATGCTACAAAGGTGTATGGTACCCTTCATGAATCTCTAAGTATTTTGTTTAATTTTCATCTCTATATTTGAGTCATATTATTGTCCATGAACCTGACGGTGCAAAATTTTATCTACAAAACAGTTAATATAACATACCAAAAGCTTTTTCAACACAGGCGTTTGAAGTAGATCATTTGCATCTTCACAATAATTATCTATAAGAATTGTATAATTAGAAACAACTTGTAGAATCCAAATTGTAGTATGTTAAATTCGGAATTGATATTTATTTTTATACCAATGCATTTCAACAGCCATCATTAGATTTAATATTGTCGATAATAAATAGAAGCAACCTCATTGTTTGTCCTAAGAACATCTTGCCCAATTACAAGGATACTTAATTTACCAGCCATAATTAGACTCTCCAAATCCACCTGATACAAAAATAACAGTAAAAAAGTGATGATGTATCAATCTAAAGATCAGACAAATTCATATTTTTAAGAAATCGGATTTGCAATAGCTTGAACTAAAGTAATGCAGAAATTCACAGTTGATGAAGCAGTTTTTTGAGTTGTTTTCCAGGGTGTTTGGATTAGTTGTGAATGAAGCTAAAAACCATATGTTCTTTGGTGAAATTTTAAAATGGAATGAAGCAGTAAATATTGCAGAAAAATGGGATTTGTAAAGGGTCCTTTGCGAGTATGGTATATTGGGTTTCCACCAATCTCAACAAAATTGACTATTGGGACATGTCAGCTAGTAGTGGACAAGGTTAGGCAAAGTTGAGTTCTTAGGCCTTTAAATTTCTATCATTTTCTGGAAGAATCCAGTTGGTGAACTTGATGAGATGCATTTTATATGTTTTAATTTTTTATTTTAATTGTGATTTTATTGTTATTTGGATGGATAGAATGTAATTTTTTAATGAATTTTACATAATTTTTATTTTTTATGTAGAAAATTTTCTTTTAAGCAAAAAAAGGACTTGAAGTAATGCATAATAATATCTGTTTTGGGACTTAAAAGAAAATCTTTTGAAAGTTAAGGGACTACATTGCCAGAAGAAAAGTTGCAATAAGGAACCTATAGAATGGGTTGGAAGTTATAGGATCAAAGTGCTCATAAAATTGAAAATAAAGGTCCCAAAAAATCTTTTTAAATTTTATTTTATAGCGTCAAATATTTTTATTCTCAACATAGAATATTTGACCTCCTTTTTTTTCATCACGAACTAATTTTTAGTAGTGTTTTCTTAATCTCTATAAAGACATTCAAGATCAAATTTTAGGAGTTTTTGGAGACCAAGAGAGGCAAGGAGAAACTCCATATCAAAAAAAGATCTATGTTTAAAATTTTATATTATTATACTAGTTTTGTTTGTTTTTAAATTTTGTTTATGATATCAAATACTTTTATATTTATTGTGGAATATTTGATTTTTTTTTGGGAAATTTTCACTTTTGGAGCATAAGTTAATAATATATTTATTGCATTTTTTACTACTAATTTATATAAAAATAAATAAAAGTTAGACTTTAGTTGTAATTTTCTTTATAAATTAATGGTAAGAAGGTACAATAATGACCCCTTAAAACCTTTTTTTTATTATAAACTAATTTAGTCATCTAATACTAGGATGTAACATAGTCAATTCTTTTTTTATTATAAACTAATTTAGTCATCTAATACTAGGATGTAACATAGTCAATTTAATGTAAAATTTCATGATTTTTATGTTTTCAAAACTTGCTATTTCATATTAAGTACATATTATTGTTTTTAATGTTTTTTAATGATTGACCACCTTTAAAATTGATTTGAAGAGCATGATTAAGACCGATAAGAAAATTTATACAACAACGTTAAATATTATATATATATATATATACATTGAAAAAATGGAAGTTAAAGATGAACCAAGATGATTTATGTAGTATTAATAATAATTGAATTTGAAAACAAATTTAGAAAGCAAAGCAGAATGTATTTAGAGGGTGTTTATATAACAAAGCTTAAAAAGCACCTTTACAAGGTGTTTAGAAAGCCAAATTTAGAAGGTGGCAAAATGGTGTTGCAAATGAGTTTCTTACCATTATATGCAAAATTAGAGGATTTTTGACTAAGCTTTACAAGCACTTTTAAAAGTTAAATTTTAAATTTTCATCTAATAAAATTTCAAATTTATGAAGGAAGAATTTTAAGCTTACCAAACACCCTCTTAATTAGTCTATAATTTTTGTTAGATAATATTCAATTTTCATTCTGATATTACTTGAAGTGACCAATATTCTTATTAGAGTAATATTAGTTCATCAACTCTATTGTTTTTCACCTTCAAGTTTATTCTTGTAAACCCGTTCATATTGGCCTGTACATTAGGGGCGTATTGACTAAGAAAATTTTACATAAATGATATAATAAAGGAATATGTGTCTTAAACAAAAATACAAAAAGGACTATTTCACTAATTTTTTTTAGTTGGGATGTAAGTATTACATTGAAACTCACGTATATGTGAAGGGTAAATTGGGTGAGAAAATCTCACATTAAAATATAATAAAGAAATACATGACTTAAAAATATAAAAAGAACTACTTCAGTAATTAGAAATACAAAGAGGACTATTTTGCTAATTAGAAATGCAAAAGGACTATTTCGCTAATTGATTTTAGCTGAGATACAAAGTTTTTGTGTTGTTAATGAGGACCTGATGCACGCATTTTTTGAATGCAACATATCTAGAATTGTATGTGCTATGGTTCTTGACAGTTTGCATTATCACTTAGTAGTTCGTCTCTTTACTCTGACTCCTAATTTTTAGTACCCATTTAATCATGTTTAATGTTTAATTAAAACCATACTCTCAAATGCCAAAAAGTAAAAATAGAAATACGGAGGTACCTCGTCAGCAAAAAGCAACGACGCAACATCCAGGCCAACATGGTGAAAGAGCCAAGCAGCCTACAGTTGTTTCCACATCCTTACCCTTCTCATATTCATCACCGGCACAACCACATTCATCTCTCCATCACCATTTTCCTTACTCTTCCTATGCTTATTTTCCTGTAATCATGCATAGCATATGGCTGCCACCATGGGAATTGTATCTATAAATTGAAAATCTCACATTCAATTCATTGAATATGCAACAATATGCACTACATGCATTGATTCCCATTCTTCAATATAGTAAATATGCAAAAATCGCATTTCTATATAGTTCAAATCTTCCAAAATCCCTAAATTCAGTTGATTAGAACCTGTTAAACTTTAATTTAAACGGAAAGAATTAATTGCCAATGTAAATTCTTCGTTTAAGTGAACATCCCCTAGACCGTCAAAAAACGAAAAATGACAAAGTCCAATGCAATACTTAACTGTTTGAAGGTCTGGACAGCACAATCTTGGCCTTGTAATCAAAGTCTCCATTCATGATCCTTTCAACCTTGGTTCTCTATTCCTTTAGAAACCCATTAAAGCTAAGCTCTTCCCTCCTCTTCCTTGGACCATCCACCATTTGTAACATTTCTCCTCGGGGCAATTTTCTCCAAAGAACACGTAGACTTAGAAATCGACCTCTTGTGGGCAGACTCTACCAGGTTCCTTGGAGGTGACAGAGGCTTATTGACAGGAGAAGGGCATGTAGAAGATGATATAGACCTTCTCTGAGCTAACTCAATAAGGGTTTTGGGCGGAGATAGCAACTGAGTGTCTTGCAAAGTAGCTTGAGATTTAAAACACCGAGGGGGGCAGTGGGATACCCTGAGCAGCAGGGTAGTCCCTTGGATTTGCGAAAGGTTAGCTGCTTAGGCGGCAAAGAGGGCGCCATGGGATTGGAAGAGTGAGGAGAACTAGGTGGTAGGTTGGGATTGGGTGGTTTGAGGATATTGGAGAACCATTTCTGGATAGTCTCGGCAAAAGATATGTCCACAGATTGTCGAGAGATTCTGATATGTGGCGATTATGTTTTGCCGATATTAATGAAATATACTCATGAGTTTCCTCATTTTGCAGTCTAACAATCTAGCTTGTGTCAGATTGCAAAAAGGAAGCATTAATTGATGAGGTGGCTCCATAGAACCCATCAATATGGTTAGAGTTGTGCAAACACATTTTTGTATACTCATTACAAATATATGAAATGTATATATGTACCTTCTAGCAGACCTAAAAAGGGGGTCTCTACGATCAAGTGAAGAAGATATGGAAAAGCCCCCTTGTTGGCCAGTAAACCTAGGCGAGCCAAGGAGTCGAAGGGGAGTCACGACGGAGAGGGACGAATGCGACCATGCGCTTGGCTTCTTCTAGCTATTTCTGGGTCAACCTGTTGCTGTTGCTTCTCGTGCTGCTGTCAAAATCCTGTTCATCTGCGTCCATTGAGTTCTTCACAGTACGAGTTAAGTCATAGACTTTCTTGTTGTCACCCTCGACAGTTCCGAAGAACATGTCGTTAATGAAATCAGTGAGGTATGGTACATGTTGATGATTGGTTTTATGTTAATTTTGTAATGCCTTCTTCTGTAGAGAGGATTCCCTGCTCAAACTCCTGTCCATTACCAGAGAAACGAGAACGCGATATAGTTTTTGGTTTCTGTGATGATTACAAGATCGATGATGACGATGAGATGCATGTTTAATGTATATTGAAGTGTTTGATAATATCGGAAGGAATGTTGGTCCGTTGACCGATGTTGTCCTTTTCTAATTTGTGTATAAATTACAAGTATATATAAGATTTTTTTTAGCCGATTATTCATACTCCACAAGAATGGAATTTAATTATTTGACGGTAAGAATTAATTAGAAACAATGACATTTTTGCTATAAAAAAAGATGTCAACATTGTTTGAGACGTTCAAAGCAAATTATTAACACTCATCTTAGTTTTTTTTTTTTTTTTTCTTTTCTCTTGTATAGTAGGAGACAAGACAACCATATCCCACCTAACTTGCATGCAGGGTTACTTAGGAAGACTCGAAATAACCGCTACATATATAATCTTTTAAGGAGGTTTAGGTTAATATGAACTATTATCCAACAATGACTCCTACATCCCTTGGTCAAAAATTGACAAAAACGAGTAGTGCATGGTCCTATTAAACATCCAATGATGAATTGAATTAAACTAGATATTACTTACGTCGTGAATCAAGTGTGTCAATTCTTGCTTGTTATACTTATGAGACGCCTCTTCAAGTTGTTTGCGTAATGTGAAGCGAACCTTGAAAGATGGATTATTTTTCTATACTGTCAAAGAGAGGCTTAACCTTTCTACATTTGCATATGCAGCTTCAGGTGAAGATCTCGACACAAGAAGATTACCTTCTAGCTTTCATGGTTTTTTGTTGGTTCTCTTATTTATTGGAATAGAATTAAATAGGGAAAGTCTCCCAATCTAGCTTCAAAGTAGAACATCGTGCCATGTTTGATGCGATGGCCAACATAACTTGGTATAGACAGTACTCTCCTAATTGAATATTTTAATCAATGCTGTCTTCTTGTCTTGTAATAATCAAAGTGCCATTAAGCTCACTTTGAGTCTGGTCTTCCATGCTAGCTAGAAGAAAGCCCTTTGAATTTGACTATCGTTTCATTTGAGAGAAGATAGAACACAGAGAAATTTAATTGAAAATTTGTTTTGGAATCTATACAACTTATTGACATATACCTTTCAGTTCAATATACAGTACAATATATTTATTAAAAAATTATTATTTTTTAATTTAAAATTAAAAACAAACAACTTTAAAGATATAAACATGCATCTAATATATAAGAATTGATTAAATTTAACTATATTTATATTATATTTTAATAACTAAATTAAGTAATTGTCAAAAAATGTATCAAATTGAATATAGTGTACCAATTATTTTTCTTTAGTAAAATGTGTATAAACTCAGAAAAAGTGTACATTAATCTTACTTCTTAAAAATTAGAAGTTTAAAAAACTTACAATTATATTGTTTCAATAATTACTCATTGCACTTGGCCAAGTTATTTTTGATACTTCACCTCCAATATTTAATAGATATGGGTTAAGTGCACATTTCTCAAATTAATTACTGTGACGCCAACTTTACTTTTCCTTTTTTTTTTTTTCTTTTTTTTTGTAATTTAGAGGGTTAAATGCATATTTTCAAGCTATTTAAGGAGTAAGTGCACATTTTTATGATTTGGGATGTTAAGTGCACTCCAAACCACATGGGTAGGTGAAATTTAATTTTCCTTAAAGCAATTAAAGGTTTTATTTGAGAATGTTTCACGTTATCAAAATACATAAATTAATTATTCTTAATTAATTTTTTTTTATAAATTTTAATAATTTTAATTAATATTTTTATATTTTTAGGATAGTAAAAAATAAAAACCTACCATTACAACTACATATAGTATAGTAGTCCAAAAACGTAGTGTAACTGTATTAGTTTTAAGGACAATGATTAGTGCACACCTGGATCTAACACCCGGGTGTGCACCCCCCACATAAAAAAAAAAAGATGGACCGGGTGATGGGCATTTGTTTTTTTTTTATATGATGTGTGCACACTCGGGTGTTGGATCCGGGTGTGCACACATCATTTTCCTAGTTTTAAATGTGAAGTTGAAAAGGCAAACTTAGTTGTAAAATAAATATAAAAGATAAAAACTTTAGTTTCCTAACATTTAACAAATTAAATTTTAAATGTTTGAAAAAGTTATGTTCAGCTTAATAATTTAAGTAGTTCATAATTTAAGTAGTTCAGTAATAATTTTCTTTTAGTTGAACTTATAGAACTTACGTTTGAGTTACATGGAATTAAAGGATTGGAGAGGGTTGTAGCCATTATGCAACCTAAAATTAAAAGAGAAGAAAAAGAAGAAGAAGCTACATTTATTTATTTTTTTAATTTGGATAATCAATGTGCTTGACGTTGTTTTTGTTTTTTTTTAGACTAGCAATATATTTGGTTGAGGGGAATGGAAGGATACATCCTTCCATTGCCATTCCTTTCCCTCCCCTCCCCTCTCCTAATTTGGATAAGTAAATTAATTAAAAAAATAACATAAAGGGCTTCTTTCCCCTCCTTTCTTCCTAATTCTTTAGATAACCAAATAAAGGAATCTTTTCTCTTCCCCTCCGTTCCATTTCCCTCAACTCAAATATATTGTAATCCATTCCCATGCAATTCTAAGAGTATACCTTACATCAACTTGGTGAATTAAAGAAAATTAATTTGTTAGATATTTGCCTCAAGACTTGAATTCTGAACTCAATGTACAAGATAACAACGGTTTACAATTGGATCTAACTTTTGCAATTCAAAAAACTGTAATATTCATATTATTTAAGAAATTAAGTTTTAAATATGAAGTTGAAAAGGTAAACTTAGTTATAAAATAAAGGGGTTAGTGTAGTATGTGTTGTCTTTTAAAATTTTTGGTTAAAATACCATTTTGATCCCTCAACTTTCTACATTGGTACTAAAATTGTACTTGAACTTCAAAAAGTATCAAAATTATCCCTGAACTTTCATTTTGAGTACCAAAATAGTCCTTTTGTCAACTGAAAGGATAGATGGCACGTTAAAATGCCACAAAATTACTTAATTTTTTAAATGTTAATGACATATAAAATGTGACTAGGAAAATTTTAATCTAGTGGTATGTTTATTTTACATACCAGATTGTTTGTTGCCTTTTCATCCTCTCCTTTTAGTGGGACTCACATGCAAATTTATTGTAATATCCTAAAATTTTCTAAAATATTAAAATTTAAGTTAAGGACTTATGTGGGAGAAATTATTATTGATGGGCCTAATAACTAAAATTTTCAAACTTAAGGGGGGGTTAAAAGAGAAAATTTGTTGATGAATGGGTTAGGCTGATTTCTTTTTTTTCCTCACTCTTGCGTGTTTTCCAACCCCTCACTTGAAGATCTGCAACCTTTAGTCCTAAGCTACCCCAACATCTCTTCACCGTGAAAAATAGGTAAAAAACTTAGCTTTTTCTTCATTCTCTTTGCAAGGTTTAGAGATTAATGAGTTTATGGTTACAAAATGATGCTCAAAAATTTTACATCTAGCTGCTGTAACCTCCCAATCTCCTAGTCTGTGTTGGGTTTACTGTCCGTAGTAAGGGATCACCATTTTCCAACACTTTCTGGTAAGAAATCAACCTTATTGCTCATATTTTCATCTTTAATTCAAATTGGGTTAACTCTAATCCTTTAAGGTTTTCAATTTTGGGAATTTTCTATAGTTTCCCCTTGATTATGTCCACAATTTAGCACCATAAGAATCTGACCCTGTTTTTGTTGGAAAATTCTGATAACATGGCCATTCAATAGTGTTTTGCCTATAACTCTTTTTGTAGATATCAAATTGAGTTCATTCTTGATTCTATGGAAAGTTAAGAGATAGCCCTACAATTTTTATGTTGGACATCTAATCCAGTTAAGCTGTTTTCATGGTTAGAACACTACTACAAATTCAATTCTCATAGGCAGACATAATTGACAGCTCGACCCTAAGTTAGCATTTTGGTCATAACTTTCTTTGTAGATGTCAGATTAAGGAGATTCTTGATCCTATAGAACGGTAAGACATAGGGTTACAATTTATCTGTTAACAATTCAACCCGGATCAATCAATTTCTAGGTGCAAATTCTGTTGAAAAGTCCGGTTCAAAATCACACCAGAAGTTGCCTAGAAATTCACTTTGTTTTCTGGTTTATTCCCACATTATGTGCTGCTACATTGCGTCATGGTTATGGTAGACTTTAGTTGCTATTTTCCTACTCTAAAACCCCTTGTTAGTGCTTTGTTTTAGCTGCCTTTTTGCTACTGCATTTAAGCTTGAATGCTACACTGTTTTGTTGCTGTTTTACCTAAAAATCACTACTGATTGTACCCAGAATTCTCTACTATTTTTACTAGAAAATCCCTATTATTTAAGGCTTTTTCCAAGCATTTGAGAACTGTTCTAAATAGCAAAAATCCCCACCATATTGCCCAACTTTTGTGCTGCTATTTGTGGTAGTTTTGAGCTTGGATTTTTCACATTTTTCACTTTGTTTTGTCCAACAAATCTGCTTAGTAAACCCGCCATATGTAGGGTCTTTTGTTGCTATTTTAGACATGTTTTGAGTATGACTATGCATAGGAATATATGCATATATTAATAGCGGTTTCAATGGATAGAAGTGACCAGGATGTGTAGAAAGAAATTATTTCTTGGTTAGAAACTTGATACTAGGATTAAAAAACCAATTTAGTTAAATGGGGTATGTTGTAATCTTGTTTGTTTTGTGATGTAGCTTAGGTTCTAAATCACCTTCATCACCTTGAGATCTTGAATTTTTGCTTTTTGTGTACCTGCAAGGCAAGGTAAGTAAAATTATAATAAATGCCTTTGGATTTTAAGGTAAAGATTTTAAAAGCATATTTTTAAAGCATATTTTAAATTGTTTTTGAGATGGTGGCAGGACCTAACTCGATTTTTATTAGCACCTGACAATGATTGATTTGAAATGAAAATTGCTATTATTTTTATTGAGCTGAGCATGCCTATATGGAGTTTTCTTGTTTGTTCTAGAAATTTGAAATTGGTTTGTGAATTTTGAATTTTACTATTAACTCATGCATGGTTTTGTTTCTAATATGGTCATGAATTCTATTATGCTATCAGTGGGAGTTAAATGTTGGCACCTATCAACATGTATTTCTATAGGATCGGTTCATCCAACCTGTTCGAGAATACACTGGTATTTTTGCTATCCAGTTAGTGGGAAAGTACATTGGCATTTCTGTTATACAGCCAGTTGGGAGAGTACACTAGTTTTTTTATCTATTGAGTTATTTCATATAGTTTTTCTTTATCCACCATTTCAGGTAGTGAAACCTGAGACATGGGAAACCAAGGGGAGTGACAAGCTTGAAGGCTAGCCATTTGTATTTTAGATTTAGATTATTGTGGAGTTAAGCTCCTAGTCACATATATTTTTGGCATAGACGAGGGAAGATAGGTCTTTTTTCTTTTTTTTTTTTTGCAAGCTAGAACCCCCTGAGATAGTCTTAACTTTATTAATAGAGTTGTAAAATTTTTGTATACTCTTGACCTAGTCAAACCTTGATCATCAAGCTAGATTTTATTATAAGGTTGTGGATCTTAATTTAGCGAATTACCAAATATGAATTAAGTAGGCTCCGAGCCTTATGCATTTGTGAGACCCTCTTATAAGGGTGCGCCATTTGTTTCGCTCCCAGTTTTAGGGCGTGACATTTATGTTGAAAGATCCCTTCAATATCACAATCAAACCTAATATGCAGAGAAAACCCTAAGACACCACCTTGTTGCCAACCTTGATTTTCTATTGAAGGAACTTCTCTAGTGAGGCGATATCCATGATCAACTGCACAGACCATGCTGCCCACCTTAATTTTCTCTTGGAGGAACTTCTCCAGTGAGATGATATCCACAATTGGCTCCACCAACCTTGCCACCAACCTTGATTTTCTCTTTTTAAGCTTTCCTTTTTCTGGGTTTTTAACTTCCTTGTTTTTGAAATTGCATTCCATTTGAGAAACCAACTTAAAAGGAAAGGGATTTTTCATTTTTGTTTCTTGTTTTTTGTTTTTCAGTTGTTAAAAAAGGACCTTTGTGGTGATGATGTGAGTTTTTTCTTAGTGAATTGTTTGCAATTTTGTTTCCTAAGAATTTGTGAATACCCAAAGAAATCACTCTTTTGTGGCAACCAAACACACACCAAAAAGAAAAAGAAAGCAATAAAACTTAGCTTGTATAGAAAGAACCCAAATTTGGGTTCTTGCAATCAATGCTGAAAGGCTCAAATCTTTGTAATCCTTGGCTCAATTGACTATGTCCATCATCGATCCATGGCTCTCATGGAGAATGGTTTCCTTAGAGAATTGAAATTGGGTTCTTTCCTAAAGAGAGAACCTAGATTTGAGTTCTCAAAAGAGAACCCTCACAGATTTGGAAGGGGAAAAAGGAGGAAGAAGAAGGGGGACAGAGAAAGAAGAAGAAAAAGGTAGAGGAAGGAGGAAAGAGGAAGAAGAAGGCTGGGAAAGAGGAAAAGGCGAACGGATGAGAGAGAGAAAAATGGAAAAAGAAGATGAATAATATAATATATAAATTATGTGGGGTTTTTTATTTAAATAGGAAAAAGAAAAAATGTTATCTCATCACCTTTTGCATGGTTTGTTTTCCACATAATAATAATTTTTTTTAAATGTGATTTTGTGGCATTTTAATTGCCACTTGTCCCTTCCATCCTTCCATTGATATAAGGACAATTTTGGTACCGAAAATGAAAGTTTCAGATGTAATTTTGGTATTTTTGAAGTTTAAGGATAATTTTAATACCAAAGTAGAAATTTAAGGGACCAAAATGGTATTTTAACCAAATTTTTTTAGAAGACTTGTCTCAAAACCCACGTTCAAATTAATATTTTCAAAAATTAACCGTTAAAGTTAAAAATTCTATTTATATAGATTATATATGTCCACTTTTATATTAATTTAAAATTTATAAAATTTTAATAAAATTCTATTTATTAACATATATTTAATTTTGTTAATTTTGTACCACGTTCAAATTAATATTTTCAAAAATTAACCGTTAAAGTTAAAAATTCTATTTATATAGATTATATATGTCCACTTTTATATTAATTTAAATTTTATAAAATTTTAATAAAATTCTATTTATTAACATATATTTAATTTTGTTAATTTTG